TAATGCATGATATAATTATTTTGAATTAATTTTTTTTGCTTTTCGCTCCCAGCATGTCTCAATTGTTCAATCTCAACTTCATAAAATTAATGTGAGATGCCCCACATTGTCTTCTTAGAATAAGGTTTACATTCAAGTGAACATCTTGTACTCAATACCCTTAGGTTTTATTGGTAGAAAAAATGTTGGTTTTGCGCATAAGAAGACGATGGTGTGATTTTATTAGCTCAACGAAATGTAAGGGTATGACTTATTGTGTCTCGAAAAAATAAAGCAATGTTTCAAAGTCTAAAACAAAGGTAATTTCAAAATTTGGTCTTTTGGTAGTGATCATGAATTATTTCGGGTAAAAAATCGAGAGATTTTATTTTGGATTTTGGATGGTATAAGAAAGGTCTAATCTTGCCATATATCGAAAATCTATAATTCTTGAAGAATTAAGAGAATCTGTAATTCATTTGATATTCGAAGAACTAAAGATTAAAACTCGTTCAATTATTCAACCTCAGAAGGAGCATAAGTTCAATCATTAAAAGATTAAGAAAATATGAAAGACAAAATAAAAATGAGTTCAAACAAAACAAGGCTCTCAATGCAAATGGTAGATGCAATGCCCCCATCCTTCTTCGATTGTCAATGCCCATGAATCTATCAGGTTCTGGATCTTGCGCTTTAGTGCTTAACAGTTTTCAGCGGAATGTCTGGAGCTTCTTATGTGGTAACTACACACGGCTTCAACATCATAAAACTCAGGATATGGGGACTTTTTTCTCAGAACATCCTGGAAGGCTCAACCCTACCACCAGATGAACAAGCTCCCACTGTACTGATTTCAGCTTCTTGATTATATTCTCAATGTGTTGTCAAGTTATTAGGACCACTTCATCGAATCCTCCATAGATTAATTTGAAAGGGATCCACCATCGACCTTTGAGCTAGGTAGGTCGAATACCTAAAAATGTCTTTTAAAAACAATTTTAAGAAAAATCGTTTTTAGACAAAATTTGGTCTGCATTTACCATAAACTCAATTTTACGGGTTTGAAAGTTGGTTACGAATGGGGAAGGATAAGCACCCCCACAACGCCCAAAATTGGTACTTAAATCACTTACACGTTGTCGTAGTAGTGGAAATGATGAATCGAATCGATATTTAAAGTAAGATCCATTTATTGAAGTTTAATTAATTTGCTTTGAATTATTTGTTAGGAAACATTCCTTAATTCGAGAAGAAATCACGAGATTTGCATCCTATAGGAAGGTTATCTCATCTATTTCTCCTTTATACAAAAAATATTCCCCCTCACCAATGTTATCAGAAAACCCGAATCGAATATAAATAAACTATCGATAATCTTCTAAAATACATTATTAAAAAACATGCCTTGCGTCGTTTGAATAAAAACAAATTAATTAGCACTCTAAAAATAACTTCGATTTATTTCAAGTTCTTATTTTGTTTGAATGTCGTATCGGATCGCACTACTTCGACCAAGCAGTGCTTTCCACGCCCATTCTACAAACAAGTGTTCTTGAAAATATTAGAATAAAAAAACGTTAAAAATGAATGAAACAAATATTTTGTATAATAGTTCGAAACCAATTCCCAAGAGCGAAGAACATATACATACATAAATGATGCGAATAAATATATAATATCCATACATGGTAAAAATGTAAGGAAATAAAATCTAACTAAGTACAAATTAAATTATAGAAGTAAAATAAGCATATAATAAAGCACAATAATTAAACGAATAAAATTAAAGTAATGAAAAATAAAGAAACATAAATAAACGATTAGAATATTAAAGTAAGTAAAATGTAAATATTGAAATTAAATAAAGAAAATAAAAAAATATAAATTTAAAATTGCATAAAGTTAAATAGCAGAAATAAAATGAAATAAAAATAAAATGTTAATATCGAGTTTTTATTATGTATCCCGTACCGTAAATGATGTGAGTCATACCCCGTGGTGAATTGTCGTAAGGTCGTACATGGTTCGAACATGAAATAAGACAAACAAATAAATAAAAGGTTAACAATTAGTAACTAGCGGTTAGAAAAGGTTAGTTGTTAGAAAAATTAGCGGTTAGCAGAGTCTAAACCATAATAATGCGGATCATACTCTGGATCGGGTCACCATAAGGTCGAATCAAATAAAATAAATACATAAATAAACAATGGTTAGAATGCAATAAAATAAAAGTCAGTAGTTAACTTGAAATAAATAACATATCAGAATAATGACCAAATTAAAAGTTAATAAAATTTGCATGCATATTCGAAATAAATAAAAAATTGAGTGACTGGAGTGCAAAAAGACAAAAATACATGGGCTTTTAAGTGATTTTAACTTATAGTGACCAAAACGTAAAGCAACGCTAAAAATGGAAGGACTAATGGGCGATTAGCTCCTAAAATAAGTGACCTAAACATAAATTGAGAAGAAATGGGGAGGGCCTAAACGAAATTTATCCAAAAATACAAACATACAACTCATCCCTTTTTCTTTCTTCTCTCCGCGACCGGCCTCCTTCCCTCTCTCCTTGCATGCAAGGCCGGCCCTGGGCCTACAAAATAATTTTTTTAGTATAATTTTTTTTTTATAATAAATTAAAAGATTGTAAAATAAAATAGAGTAATATACACATTTAGTACATATACTATCAGTTTTGATCCATTTTAGTATCTAAATTTTTAATTTTTTTTAAAATCATATATAACTTTTAGTTTTAATTTCATTTTAGTACCCGTCGTCAAAAACTTAACGCGTTTAGTATATAACTATCAATTTTGGTTTTTTTATTACCTAAAATTTCAACAAAAAAAAAAGAAAAATTAATGTTAAATTTTGAATGATTACTAAAATGAAATAAAAAAATTAAAGTTTTTAACGGCGGGTACTAAAATAAAAAAAAACTAAACTTTACGTATTATTTTGAAAAAAAAAATAAACATTTATGTATTAAAACATATCAAAACTAGTAATTTATGTACTAAATACATAATTTATTCAATAAAATAATGGGGCCCATGAATTTATTAAGGTGTCAATTATCTTTATTGAATTTTATATTAACGTTAATAAACTATTCTTTCATAAAATTCTAATTTAATATTTCTTTCTCAAAATTAAAAAAAAAAATCATTTGAACTCTTTAATTTTGGTCTTTCTAAATTCCCACTATCAATTCACCAAATATCTTTCTCGATTTTTCATATCAATGAAAAAAATTATTAACATTATTTTTTTCAAAACTTAATGAGAGAAATTTTTTTAAGTATAATTAGTATATTATTTCTCTTTCATGTTTCACGATTCATCTGAAAATTATTATTCTCATTTTTTAATTTATCATATTTGTATCACACGTAAAATCACAATTGTTTGTTATCAATTATGATGCTTGAATAATATTGAAGATTATTCTTAAAATTATAGGTAGATCATGTTTTCAAATTCTTTCTTTTAATTTTATATATTTTCAAATTTTAGAAAAAATCGTTCTTTCATTTTCAAATGTTATGTTATGTATTGAGAAAAATATGTTGTAAAGCATTGATGTTGACACTATCATCAATGGTTTTGTATTAAAATATTCGAATGTAATATTTTTTATTAGTATTTGTATTCTTAAATATATTTTTGACATCTTTTATATTGTAATAAATTACTATTTTTTAATTTAAAAAATATAATAAAATATTTATATTAGATATTTCTTATTTTTTTATATTAGATGTCTATTTTTTAATTTTCGCCCCGGGCCTAAAAATAGTCAGGATTGGCATGGCCGGTAAACATAAATGTACCCATGGGCGTCGTCTCGCTCGCTCGCCGGTCACCGCTTCTCACCCCGACCAACGTTCAAACGATCGTTGATCCCCAACCCAAGGATCTAAAGGAGCAAACACCCCCTTTCCTTTCTCTTCAACTCCCTTCTCTTTCGGCCGGAGCTTAACCAAGCTCCATAACTGACTTCGACATCGACCCCCCTCTCCCCGACGAGAACCCCAAACAACAAGAAAAGTAGAGTAAAAAAAAGAAAAAAAATATAAAACGTGAAGGAGAAAGAGCCCTCTGGTTTTTTATTTGCTTTCAATCTGGTTTATAAAAGGAGGTTGAAATCTACTTTTTGTTTGGTTTTTAAAGCCCCCATCAATAGTGCAAATGGTAATATTACGAGTTTGGTCCTTGGACAAAATTAGGGCATTACAGCTTCAACTATCCAAGCTGAGCTCTGGGGTATATACATTGGGTTGCAGGTTGCTTGTGGCCTTGGAGTAGAGCTTCTGTAGATTCAGTATAGCTCGCAGGCTATATACAACTTCTAAATAACCCAAACGCGTCATGTGCTGCTTCTCTCTTTGTGCGTGCCATTTTATCGCTTTGTTGCCGCAGCTGGTTAACGGAATTAATTTGAATACCTCGTGAAGAAAACATGGTATATGATGGGATGGTCAAGCTTGTCCTCCCTCCTAGGTATACGTTGGAGACTTTCCCTTCTGCGCCTGAATCTCTCTCCCCTCGTTGATCGTGACTTCCTGGGGCCACCTATATAAGGACTACAGTAATTTTAAAGGCTTTTGGCTAGGTCTGTAAATGAACTGAACGTTCAACGAACCGTTCATGAACCGTGCGGCGGGAAGTTCGTTTATGTGCGTTTATTTATTAAATGAACGAACATGAACAAGATTTTTTGTTCGTTTAATTAAATGAACAAACATGAACATAGGTCTCGTTCGTTTATTTACGTTTGTGAATGTTCGGTTATGTTCGTTTGGTTATGTTCGTTTATGTTCGTTCGATTATGTTTAACACAATCTTCTTAAATCAATTTTGGTGACCAATTTGTAAGTGTCTTAAAAATATTAATCTGATATTCTGATGACCAACTCCATAATTAACCCAATTTTATTTGGAGATTAAATCCAATATGTTAACCTGTGAGTCACCTCGCACTTATATTTATTTTCTCCCTTTTTTCTCAAACCTTATTGTTCACTGGAAAGTGGAGACGATCTCTGAAAGATTCAAAACAAGTTATATTATAGTGCATTATGAAGTTTTACATGTCTGTTTTCATCTCTTTCTCTGTTTTATTTGACTTAATAGTTGATATGTAAAGTTATTGTGGGTATCTTCACATCTAAAACTCAAGAAAATATAATACTTCTTTCTAGAAATAGATGGGAAGATAAAGATAAAAATCGGAAGTATATGAGCATCAGTAAAAAGAAAAATATATAGAATTTGTCAGAAAACAAAACAAAGATTTCTATTCAATTTCTAAAAAAGAGTGTAATAACGGAAAATGATTGTTCATATGTAATCATGGAACACTAAGATAAATGTTATAACGTTAAATAAAAGTCGTGTGAATCATTTAATATCTTTAAAAGATCGATCGAAATATTTGATATCTTCAAACATTTCATCACTGCTAATAAGCTCTTACGCTATTTATCACTGTAGATTTGGTTGATTTGCATTGTCGACTATTTTTCATGAAAGAACAATGGAAGGTAGGGTCTCCAACGTTTATGTTCGTTTATGTTCGTGTTCGTTTATGTTCGTGTTCGTTTATGTTCGTTTATTTATTAAATGAACGAACATGAACAAGTTATATTCCTTAATAAACGAACATGAACAAAAAAAAATTTGTTCGTTTATGTTCGTGTTCGTTTATGTTTGTTTATTTTTTAAATGAACGAACATGAACATACCTTCGTTCGTGTGCGTTCGGTTCGTTTACAGGCCTACTTTTGGCCTCTTCCTTCATTCAAAAAAAAAAAACCTTTGTCGATAATATCACCCCTTAATGGTCCATACCAATAGAATATAAAAAAAATGGCGTTAATATCTGGGGACATTTTATGTCAAAATTTCGAAGCCGACAGAAAAAAGGTTTATGGGTCAATTTCATTAAACTTGCCAAATGCATGGGTTAATTTGATTGGCAAAAAAATTAAGAACAATTTGCCCAAATTTGCTAGATGATATGTGTTTTAAAACTTCTCCATAATTTATAAGTTGGTCATATATGTATGTATGAATGGTGCTGATGAATGTATTAAAAAGCATAGGTGTGAGAGAGTAAACATATAAATATATATATCCGAACATATGAAGGGGATGCTAGAAAATTACCCAATGGAATCACATCGTAAGGGTTGTATCCTTGTGGTAAGAAACCATAAAATGTGATTAGATGTGAACCAGAGAAATTTCCATAACTAAGACAGCATTGTTCCCCAACACTGCAAGGTCTTGATAGAGGAAACTTCAAAGAATTCGTTGCAGGATCTACTTTGCCATAGTGAACTATATGTGGATGTACCTGTAAAGAACCATACACGATACTAGAATATTAAGTATAATAAAGAACTTATAAAAGGATGCAAATCAGATAAGAACGAGTCTTAAGTATACAATAATTAAGACGGAGAATTGTGATGGCCGTAAATAATTTCAAAGCCTACAATTAGTGACCTACAGAATGATTGAGAAAGCCTGCAACGGGAATCAAGCAAGTCCTCAGCTTTCCATCAGCAAACATAATTTTCATGCTGTTAGAATACCAGAGCTCGCAAGCCCATAAAAACTGCTCCCACGTGTAGAGCTCTGGTGGAAATATATCAGGATGATCATTGGATAATGCCAGAAATAACTCATCATACTGAACACGCAAATGCTGCAAATTTGAGAAAGACCAAAAGGGAAGAAAAGTCATACATTATATTTAGGAAATGCTAACATCTCTCAACTTTAAGCATTTATCATATAGAAAGCAAACTATAGCTGCAATTTCCTGAACTAACCTAATTAATTTCGCAAGACTAATAAAGTTAGGTGGACTTAATATATTTCATAAATCAACCATGTCCAAAGGTACTACAAGTCACTCAGATTATTGTTAAGTATTCAAAATTTAAAACCACTTGGCTATAGATGCATAAAGGCAACCCAAGCCAAATAACAAGTAATGAAAACAACACCACTAGTGTATTCCTAATAGAAAAAACTAAGGAAACTACCAAGTGATGGAAATGACACCACGTGTGTATGCCTACGAAATTAAGATAAATTTATCATGTGCAATATGCAATTAAGCTATGACACTGTATTAAACATCCAAACTAAAACTAGTTGGCTTTAGGTGGAGTAATCTGCTTTCATGTGTGGCCACAAACCGAAATTCTTGAGGTTGTTGAGTAAAATACTACTTGACAGTCATTTAAAACCTAAAGGCACCCAATTCTTCTAAAATCTAGATCCTTTCCACAAGTCCGTCATCCAATTCCCATCAGAAAAAGAAAGCCTCAACTCTAAGGTTGACTAAATATAAGAAATGAGCAGCTTAATAAAGAACCTTTGCTTGCATTATCTCTTCAAATAGTAAAGTTCCATCCAAAGCCATGATTGCTTCAACTCCAAAGTCCAATCCTGTAAGAGTAAGACATAGTGGTGGAAATTTGAGGTAAAAAAATTAGAACATATTTTACTTTACAGAAATCCAAAAAATATTATATAGGACTGCACATATTACACACAAGTTATATTAGGGTTGCTATTAGTTTATATTTGGGTAAGGTTATACCATTATTTATTTATGAAATCAAATAATAGGAAATGGAAAAATGTGATATCTTTTACATTTGAATCTGTTAGATCTTCAATTTTCAAGATCAGCATTATTTTCAATAAAAAAGATTTATATGCTATGGGTTTACTAATGCACATTCATGAAAATGAGTTAGAACAATGTCTATTTGTTGCATTGTCTGTTATATAAAATTTTCAAAATAAATAAAATGAAACCAGGCTATTCCTCCACCCTAGCTGTCCAATATAAGAACAAATGCTTCTTCCTCGTCCTTCAAATTATTCAGTTAGGAATCAGACAAAGAAAAAAGAGTAAGAACAACAACACATTCATGGTTCAGTGATATAATTTCATATTATCCTACAAGAATCCTTGAAATTGTAGAATAATATGTTAAAATCAGTGATTTTTGACACTATCTCTCTGTTAATGATGCTGGTGATGCAGGCCATGACAATGTAATGTAACAAATTCATGTTGAAAGGGTTTAACCCTGGGTTCTACAGCATCCACCACTCTATCTGGAATTACTAGATGTTTTCGGGCCATTATATGAGATACATTAAAGCTTATACGGATGCAAAGTACACTGGGTCTTTGGATGACAGGAGATCTATATCTGAGTATTGCACATTTGTGGAATCTAGTTACATGGAGAAGTAAGAATCAGAGTGTAGTTGCCTGATCAAGTGTTGAGGCAGAATATAGAGCCATTAACAACCATCTCCTGTATACCGTTATATATACGAAGTACAAATGTCACATCACTTGTAAACCATTTTCCCATTTGAAAATATGTACAATTTTGTTTCATTTTATAAACCATTATAAAATACTTATAATGAAATCATGCATTATACTTACATGTACAATCAAAACAGACGTTTCACATTTCACCGTTATACATTAGTTTAATTCAAAAGCTTTTCAAAGCGTTTTTACTAAACCTATTACATGCTAACTAAAATATATCAAAAGCATACAAGTATGTCATACAGTTACTGATGAGGCGACTCTGACTTGATGTCTGATTATCTCCTTACTCAGCTGGTATTCCACCTATGCGTGAAATAAACACAAGTTAAGTATTACTTAGTGAGGCATAATTAATCACAAGTAAAGTTCTAAACACAAGTTATTTTATAATTTGCATCGCTAGTGCATACCTATTACCAATATAAAAATCCACTTCTCTATTAAGAATTTCTTAGGTTTATACACATATATTTCCCATACTGAAATTCATACACTTAGTATGAATTTCTTAACATGTTAGCACACGAAGTGCCCTATAAGGAAATTCATACACTTAGTATGAATTTCTTATCATTTTACAACACCAATTGCCCAATACGGAAATTCATACATTTAGTATGAATTTCTTATCATTTTAGCACACGAAGTGGCCTATACAGAAATTCATACACTTAGTATGAATTTCTTATCATTTTAGTACACCAAGTGCCCTATACATAAATTCATACACTTAATATGAATTTCTTATCATTTTAGCACAACAAGTGCCTTACTGAAATTCATACACTTAGTATGAATTTCTTATCATTTTAGCACACCAAAGTGCCCTATATGGAAATTCATACACTTAGTATGAATTTCTTATCATTTTAGCACACCAAGTGCCCTATACGGAAATCCATACACTTAGTATGAATTTCTTATCATTTTAGCACACCAAGTGCCCTATACGGAAATTCATACACTTAGTATGATTTTCTTATCATTTTAGCACACCAAGTGCCTTATACTGAAATTCATACAATTAGTATGAATTTCTTAACATTTTAGTACACTTAGTGCCATTTGGTAATCACCATACATACATCAATATTTCATAACACTATGACTATTATAGCATATACGTACATAATTAAATGTACTTACCTGTCTCGTCTTGCTTAGATATCCAAAATGGGAAGATGATTACTCCAGAACTTTGCCCCTGCTTTTTGGCTTACTAGACTCGGGAGCTTGATTTCGATCTATCCCAAATTCATTAAATACATGTATAATATCAATTGCTAGTTATTTCCTAACAATTATACCTTAAACATTAATCAAAAGTACTTATTATTAATCTTTCTACAACAATATTAGCATAACTTAAAATTTCTGATTCCTCAGTATCGATACTCCCACCATGGTATCGATACTACCCTACTATGGTATCGATACCCCTTCCGGTATTGATACCAAAATTAGATTCGATGTGGTCCAATATCGATTCCCTTACCATGGTATCAATATTACTATACTATGGTACCGATACCCCTTTATGGTATCGATACCAAAATTAGATTCGATGTTACCTGGTATCGACACTTCTCATCTAAATCAACCCAATTTTAGCCTATAATATCGGTACTGTTCTATCAGTACCGATACCCATGCCTAGATTTTTCAGTTTTTAACCCGAGACATACCAACTTTGGCCAATTTTCCTCTCATTTACCCCTAACAATACTATGTAACTCTTCTCTACTTAACCATACTAATTTTCCCTCATTTAGATGCTTAAAACATCTAGTATTCCTCAATTGCATTTGATTCTAAGAATCACACCAAAATTTCTAACTTGTTTTTACACTCATCCAATGCTTCTAATATTTCATTTACCTTTTTGACACTTAAAAACTACTAATAATCATCCATAAATACCAATATACTCAAATATCATTATAAAACACATTTTATAAAATCTAATTTATTTCCCTTATCTCATTGTTTTAATCTCATCTAAACCTTCCTTAAGATTCCATAATCTACAAAGCTTCAATAACCAACCAAAACCGAAGGAATAACTTAGTAAATTAAAAACTTAACTTTGAGCTATGAAAGGACTTTGTTACGGGGGAAAAAAGGAAAAGAGAAAGAAGACTTTTTGTATCCTCTAATTCCCTTTTCCTTTTTTTTATTTAATACCAATTTAGAAGACATTTTAAATTCTTTTTCATTTAAAGGACCAAAATGCCCTCTGAATAATCCATTGTCACAATTTAGTCTAAACCATTTATCACAATCCTTCTCATCTTTCATTATTTAATAAAATAAACCCTCATATTTTTGAATTATTTCAGTATAGTCCCTAAATCCGTATTTGGGAAATTACAATTCTCCCTTTAATAAAATTCATCCTCGAATTTTAAAGAAGTATCTGAAGCAAAGAGATATGGAAACTATTTTTTCATATCCTCCTCTCTTTCCCAGGTAGCATCTTCCACCTAATGATTATGCCAAAGCACTTTGACCAACGGAATCCTTTTGCTACGTAATTCCTCCTTAGCCAAGATCCGTACCAGTTATTCCTCATAAGTCAAATCTGGTCGGATTTCTATCTCTTAAGGAGTGATAACATGCGAGGGATCTGATTTGTACCTCCTAAGCATCGATACATGGAAAATTGTTGACACTCATTTTTCGATATTATTAATAATATTGTTATAATATTATTATATTATTAATATATTATTATTATTAACAATAAAAATAATAATTTATTTATTATTATTTTACAGATTACAACAGGCTTGTTAAGCTGAAAACCCAAACCCAAATTACAAGTTATACCCGACCAACCCAAGACCCGTTGGAGCCCAGAACTGATCCAGGCCTAAGGGGAAACCCTAAACCTATTTAGGGTTTCTATTAGGGTTTCCAGAACAGTCCAGCACCTCCTTGAAGCCCAACCGTTAGATCTGGACCCATCCAACAATCCAGATCGCGCCTTCATGTTGGCCACTCCCATGCCACCGCCACTTGGACCACTCAGCAGCCGCCGCCGTTGGAACCAATCGCAGCCGACTATACTATGCGAAGCACCATCATTATGCACCAAAATAACAACCAATAAAAATATGTTACTATATTTAGATTTAGAAAACGGGTATAAAACCTGATGAAAATGTTGTAAACGGGGCTCGACCCCTTGGATTTTGCAGAGCAGAAACAAAGCAATAAAGCATATATTCCAGAGGTATATCATATGTTTATTTTTTGTTATTATTTATTTATATTCGAAGCAAAATAAATCATAAGTAAAGGATAAAAAAGAAACAACAAACAAAAAACTTTGCATGTAAAACGAAGGGAACCGAGAGTTTAAAAGCAAAGAAAAATTACCTGAGTCTTCACGGTGGCAGGAGGAGTGAGAAACCGAAAAGTCAGTCACTTTCGGGGCTTGTTTCGGGGTTTTTAGGGTGTTTTAGCCTAGATTACTTGCCTGGGGGTTAGATCTAAGCGAGGAGGTGTTTGTGGGTGATTTTAGGAATTCCGGCCACTGTGTGCGGTGGTCAGAGCAGTGGTTCGTGGTGGCCGGTAGTGGGCCGACCAGAACCAAGTTGGGAGAGTTTTCCCTATCTCCCTCTCTCATATTTTTATGTTTTGTGTAAAAATGAAAAAAATAATCAAATAGGTGGTATTTATAGATGAAGTTTAGGGGTTAATTGTATCATAAATCCCCCTAATTTTATGCGTGTTTTTCAAAATGGTCACCTGTAAGGACCAAACTTACAATTTCCCTTATTCTATGCATGTTATATTTATTTTGGTAAAATATCAGTTCAATCCTCCAAACTTTAAGCGTGTTTTGCATATTAGTCCCTAAAGGGACTATTTTTTTTGTAATTTTTCCTTTTTATGCCTGATTATTATTTTTTGGTATATTTAATTTACAACCCCTTATATTTTTATATATTTATATTTTGAGCATTAAATTATATTTCTTTTATTTTACTTCAGTCTTGTAATTTGGTCCCTTTATTTTATTTATTTTTATTATTTATAATTTTAACCTTTAATTTTGAATTTGTTTATTTTAGTCCCTTATATTTT